GTTTTCTAGGGCTTCCATGCCAAATTACCACAAACTGGGTGGTTTAAAACAATGGAAATGCATTCTATCAGTTCTGGAGGCCAGAAGCCCAGAATGGAGGTGTTGGCAGAGCTGGTTCATTCCAGAGGCTCTGAGGGAGTCGATTCCAACCTGATGCTCCGAGAGGCAAAAGGGGAGTCGTGTTGGTTTGGGTCCTCTGGAAGCAGACAGACACCAAGATAGCATTTGATGTGCAGGAGATTTATTGGGGGGCTGCTTGTGAAGAATGAAGAAGAGGCAGGGAGAGCCTTCAGATGGCAATGCTGGTCTGACACCAGGGAAGGGAGAGGGGAAAGGAGGGACGGTGGGTAGGGGGAACCTCAGGCAGCAGTGCAGCTCTGAGAAAGTCTTACACAGGGCGACGGGGAACCCCAAAGCAGGATGTGCTGGTCTGCTCAGGCTGCTATAACACCCAACCACAGACCAGGGGCAGGGAGCTTAAACAACAGAAATGTATTTCTCACAGTTCTGGAGGCTGAAAGTCCAGGATCAAGGTACCAACAAGGTTGATTTCTGGTGAGAGCTCTCTCCCTGGCTTGCAGGTGGCTGCCTCCTTGCTGTGTTCTCACATGGCCTTTCCTCTGTGTACATAGAGAGAGTGAACTCCCATGTCTCTTCCTGTTCTTACAAGGACACCAGTCCTGTCAGATTAGGATGCCACCCTATGACCTCATTTAACCCCAATTACCTCTTTGAAGACCGTATCTCCAAACATAGTCACATCAGGGGTTAAGGATTCGACATACGGATTTGGGGGGACACGTTCCAGTCTATAATACAGGGGTTGCCTGTTCCAGCATTGGCAGGACTGACCCTCTTGCTCCTGTCATCTTAGTCGTTGGCTGGGAGCAGCCCAGATGAGTGAATACCTCAGTGGATCCGAAGGTGCAGCACCTGGAAGCAGACAGCCACCACCTCCTCATAGGAGGTTCTCGCTCGGAGGAAGAGCTGGGGGCACGTTCCACTGCTGCCATGTGTAATAGAAATAGGAACAAGGGCAGTGCACACTCAGAGCCTGCTGCTGCTGCCCCCTGCCATGGGGGCTCAGCGTGCTCCTGGGACCCTGCACACCCTGTGCAATAGATCCTCTCGTCCTCCCCATTCTACTGATGGGGAAACTGAGGCTCGGGAGGTGTCCCAGCCAGGCCCCCACCCCTTTATCTGAGGGTGGCTTTGGGAATTTGGAGGATTCACAAGCTTTGCACTTCTTGTGTCAAGTTCAGCTGTGAAGCTGTTTAATAATCACCTTCCCTGAGCATCCGTCTCTGAGGGGTAGGTCCAGGGCCAAAGCGCTCATTTCAGCAGGACTCCACCCCTACCTGATGACATCCAATGTTGATTGCGTGCCTGGATACATTTATAATAGGAATTCGAGCCCAGAGCCCAGTGGGGTCTGGTGCTTTGTCCAAGGTAGCATAGCAAGCCAGGGGCAAGGCCAGGAACAGAGCCCTCAGTCTTGTACTCCTGGCCTAATAGTAAGAAATCCCCCTGCCCTGCCTGGGTTCCCACCTCTGCCACTGTTGAGCTAGGTGACCTTGGGCACATGGCACCTCTTCTCTGGGCCTTCATTTCCTTATCTGGAAAATGGAGATAGCAGCATCTGCCTTACCAAGCTTTACCTTTACACGGGCCCTGTGCCTCAGTGGCCCCATCTATAAAACAGGGAAACGACAATACCTACCTCACAGTGTTGTGGTGAAGATTGAATGAATTCTAAAATGTTTAAAGTACTGGCTGTTAGGATTCGCCATAGCCTGACATTGGCTGAGTCATCTGAACCCCTCTCCCCACTCCCTCAAATTGGGGAGCCAGGAGGCAGTATAGTGTGGAAAGAAGAGGCCCAAGAGCCATCTTGGCCCTGCTGCCAACTTGTGGGAAGACCCCACTTTTCCCCATCTGTGCTCTGGGTGGGGTGTGCTGGACAGATTAGCCTGATAGGTCCCTCCCAGCTGTGACTTTATTAGCTGAAGTCTGTGGGTCCCAGAGTGGAGTTCAAAGCAGGACTATTGGATTCTGGAACTCCCAGGGACTGATGAGGATATGTGAGGCTGTACCCTGTCCCGAGATTTCACGGAGGTCACCATGTAGACAGCTGGCCCCCAGAACACCACGCCACCAGGAATGCTGCCTCCTCTCAGCAGTCAACCCTTAGCAAGCCCTACTATGTACCTAGCACCGTGCAGTCTCTATACATGTTCTTTCACCCAATCCTTGCACACACTGTACATGTGGGGCCCCATTTTACAGGTGAGAAAGTGAAGGTTCTAACTGTCCAAAGGTCCTTAACTCATACTGCCTCTCTCATTATCTTTCTTAATCTTCCAATAATAGTTTCTGGGAAGTAGGCACTGTTATATTTTTCTCACTTTATAAAATAGGGAAACTGAGGCTCAAGGCCCCAAGGGATTTGCACCCAGAGCTAGACTTCAGATTCTGTGAGCTTAACCACCATGTTCTACCCCGTTACCAGCAAATGAAGGGGGAAAGACAGAGCCTTGGAACCTGCTGAACCTGTATTGAGTGTCTGTGCAACCCCACTCCTCCAGCCTCTCCGGAGCCACCTGGGGTTCAGCTTCCCCTCTACAGAGCGCACAAGGCAGCACCCAGTGATCTGCAGGGCCTTCAAGCAGAACGAAAAGTCAATCCCTGACCCCTGGAACATCCTTTATCACTCGGGTGTAAGCTTTTGGCTTGGACGGGCTCACCACCAGGCAGCACTCGAGCCACAAGCTGGATCTTTCCCACCACCTTGGAACCGCAGCGAGCCGTCTGTGGCTGCTCAGAGCAGCACCCTCCCATGTTCATCTAGCTTCCCTGACCCTGGCAAGTGCCCGTCGCCTTTTTCTCCCTTTCTCAAAACCCAGGACACAATAGGAAGCGTTTCCTTGAACTTATTAAAAAATCCAGACTTGTAAATTAATTTGTCCATGTTGTACAAAGGCAGTGCAGATGAACTCATTAGCATGCACACAACAAATAATTATAGATGAATTTTTAGCTGGCCTGCCTAATGCGCGCGCTGGGTTAATTATGTCAATGTATAATTACAGCAGCCCGAGGAGGCATGATGGCGCCCCCGCTGAGCAGGCCCGCCTAATGGTGGAGTGCAGAGGGGGTGCTGACAAGAGGAACGACTGGCCTTCCAGCCGCCTTCCCACACACCTCCTCCCTCGGCACGCACTCCCATTGCCCAAGCCTCCCATCACTTAAACAGGTGGGAGGAGAGGGACCTTGTTCCAGCCGGACCTGAAGGCCCAGGGTAGGCACTACCCCATTTCTTCCATCAGCAAATATTTATTGGGAACTGTGTGTCCATCCACAGGGCGTCGAGTGAAGGAGCAAAAACAGATGCAGTCCTGTGCCTGCCTTGTGGAGTTTCAGTCTGGTGTGCATTAGTTAGGTGGACTTGCTAATCAATGAAAATTATAAGTACAATGAATGCTGTGGAGGAGAGGTGCAGGCAGCTGGGAGAGCTCATATCAGAGGATTGATTGGTCAAGAAAGGCTTCCTGGAAGAAGTGGCATTTGAGGCACAAAGACAAATCAGCATTTAAGTCAGCACAGAGACTTAAATGAGTCTTTTGCCAAGGTCACACAGCAATCCCAAGAAGCAAGTATGAATTTGACTAGGACCCAGGGATCTGTCTCCGGGGTCCATGCTCTTAATCCTTCTACTCCTCAGCAGAGAGCAGTGCTCAAGCAGATGCTAACAGGAGACCCCTGTGGAAGGACGAGAAAGAGTGAGGACTCCTGTGCTTTTAAAAGGACTGTGGACCGGACCCAGGCCTCTCGATCTGGAGTGAGGAGGCCCTGGCTCTTCTGGGCCCCCATGAACACTCGCCTGAGCTGCCGGGGTGGAAATATCCACACCACTTTGTGGCATCAGAGAAAGAGACCCGATTCAAATCTCACCTCCACTCTTGAGCAAGTTACCTGGCTTCTCTGAGCCTCAGTTTCCTCATCTGTGAAAATGAGCTGGATCCAAGCAGCCTCCAGGGAATGCTGGGAGCATCATGGAGCCCATTCCCATGACAGGCTTTGTAACCTGGAAATTGCCACACCAACCTCTGGTATTATCCAGGTGTTCTTAGGTGGGAACTGGGCAAAGCCATCTGGAAGAAAAGGTGCTGGATTCGAGATGTGAAGAAAGAAAGTACTCGCTAGGTGACAGATGGAGAGGGAACAGAATTCCAGGCAGAAGGACCTGCACATTCCTCACTTTTTAGCTATTGGGAAATGGGGAGGCATCTAACATCCAGGTGTGCACATCCAGAAAAGCCATTATTTAATTACCCCACATGTCAAAAATGATGGTATGTTAGTCCAGGTCCACTGAGAAGCACCCCAAGGATTCTATGTGCAAGGATGCTACTGGGGAAACGCAGGTGAAGGAAAATAGGGAGGGAGCTGGGAGAACTGGGTGGAAGAGGCAGACCCCGCACAGCCTGAGGAAGTGCTGGGCAAGGCCTTGAGGGAGTTCTGTGCCCTATGAGCAGTCCCATGTCCCCAGGAGCAGGTCCAACTCTGTCTTTGCTGCCTTCAAGCCTTGTCTGGAGAGGCTTGTGAGAAGGCTGGTCTCAGACCGGTGGATTTCAGAACGGGTCCTTGCTCAGTGACATTCCCTGTGGTTGGAGGCATGCAAGACACAGTCTCATGGCTGCCACAGATGGCATCGTAGAATTTTGAAAATGCACTTATGGTGACAGTTATTATTACTGTTCCCAGCTGTGCATGATACCCATGCCCATGGGGATAGCACACATTCCCCTGAGCTGGTGCCTGGAAAATGCTGCTCCCTCATAAAGCAGAAAATCCATGTTGCTCCCTTAGGCCATCAGAGCAACTCCAGGCAGCTCCTATGGGTTGTCCCCCCACCCCAGCTCCCCACTAGGTCCCACAGCCTCAGCCTGGGCATCCCTCAGCCCCCAGGGTCCTCACCACGCATCCTCCTCTCTCTGCAGACCCTGTGCCTGTATTTGAGGCGACGCGCAGCCTAGACGACAGACTGCAGCCCCCCAGCTTCAACCCCATCGGGCAGCCTCGGCGAGACCTCCACACTTCGTGGAAGAGGCACCCCGAGCTCCTCAGCCCTAAAGGTATTGATAAGGCCTTCACGGGATGTCCATAACAAACTGGTCTGTGGATCTTTGACAGCCAAACTCTCCCCCTAAAACAAATCCCGTGCCAAAGACATGCACTGACCCCTGGGATGGGCCGCATGGAGCCTGCAAAGGTGGACCTAACATGGGCCCTGCCCTGGGCACCTGCAGTGAGCCAAGTGATAATTGTGGGGAGGGGAGAACAGTGTGGTGGTTCCTCAGTGAGTTAAACTTTGAGTTACCCCGTTACAGCACTATTCACAATGGCCAAATGGTGGGAACCACCCAAATGTCCATCAGCTGATGAATGGAAAAGCAAAATGTGGCATATCCAAAAAATGGAATATTGCTCAGCCATAAAAAGGAATGGAGGTCTGCTACATGCTACAACTTGGATGGACCTTGAAAACATTATAAGGGAAAGAAGCCAGTCACAAAAGGATATACATCATGATTCTTTTTATATGAAATGTCCAGAATATCTAGATCCATAGAGGTAGAAAGCAGGACTGGTGTTTGCCAGGGGCTGGGGAGTGACTGCTTAATGGGGACAGGTTTCCTTTTCTGGTGGTGACAGTGTTATGGAATTAGTGGTAATGGCTGTACAATATTGTGAATACACTAAATGTCACCAAATTGTAAACTTTAAAAATGGTGAATTTTATGTTAAACCCTGCTGACCTCGGTGACAGAAGGTCCCAACAGCTGTACTCTCTCCAACACTGCGTGTAGGAAATTGATTCTTCTTACAATTGATCGATCTGGTTTGCAGAAAGTGGCTCTGGCTGTCACACCACTCTCAGCAATGGGTATTTTTCCATCTTTTTCTTTCTCCAGAGCAGAGAGAGGGGACGTCTCCAGCCGGGCCCACGCTGACCGAGGGGAGCCGCCTCCCGGGCATTCCCAGCAAAGCCCTCCTGACAGAAACTTTGCTGCAGAGAAATGAGGCAGAGAAACAAAAGTGAGTGGGGGAGGGACCAGGAAAGTCACCCCTTCCCAGGACAACTGGGGAATCCAGATATAGGTGATGAAGACATAGGCCTGAGTTTGAGCTCCATCTCAGCAGCTCAGTGGCCAGCCCTGGGCAGGTCACATCACCTCTCTGAGCTTCATTTTCCCCATCTGGAAAATGGGGCTAATGGTGATGTATTACTCAAGGTTCTCCAAAGAAACAAGAACCAGTAGGATTTTTTTTTTCCAATTAATTAAGAGATGTATTTCAAGGACTTAAGTCACACAATTGGGGCTGGCAAGTCAGTTGGTAGAGCTGGCCAGCAGGCTGGGAACTGTCCAGCAGGAGTCAGTGTTGCAGTCTTGAAGCAGAACTACTTCTTCCTCAGCTTTGTTCAGACCCATCAGAAACCCCATTTATGGACCAGGAAACTGGGGCACAGAGAGGCAAGGTTGCTGGCTGCCGTAGCCCCCCAAAAATGCTGCCAGAATCTTAAGTGGGCCAGCCATAATGGGGGCCACATGTCAGCAAAACAGTAGGGCAGCTAAATGCCGGAATGTCGAGTTTAAGGACATGCGTTGCATTGTGTTGTGTTTAAGACAGAAGTGCAGGTTACAGGGAGTGGGCAAGGGGATAGGAAATGGGTGGGGCCCAGGGAAGGCCCATTCACACTGATATGAGCAGAGCTGGTGTGAGCAGGCCCGGTCTCTCCGCAGGGGCCTTCAAGAAGTACAAATCACTCTGGCAGCCAGACTGGGGGAGGCAGAGGAAAAGATCAAGGTCTTACATTCAGGTATGTATGTGGCACATGGCCCCAGCCCTCATATAACACTCTGGCGCTGTCAGACCAGGAGGAGGTGGCAGAGGGGGTGCTGACACTATGAACACAGGCTCAGGTATTTCAGAATCAAGAGGGCAAGAAGGGAGTTTGAGAAGGGGATGGAGAGAAACTTATATTACCCAGCAGGGGTCTGAGCCCCTGTCCCTGGACGCCATACTACTTTGGAGAGAAGGTTTGAGATAAAATTAGAATAGGAGTGGCAAACATAGCGCCTTCAGCTTCCCAGCACACAACCAAGCTGATCAAGCTAGGGAAGGCAGTAGGGAAGGGTGGGGTCTGGGACAAACTGGAGAACCCAGCCTTATCTATAGAGGTGGCCCCTACTGAGCACTAGCCAGGCACTGCCTTATGGCCTAGTGTGGTCAATCCCTTCAATTTTCCTAGAGAAATCCGAAATCTGGAATTTTATGAGAAATCCCTCATTTATTATAATATACTTGTAACTGTTGACTTTGTTATTCCTTCCTGTCCCCCTCACCTGCCAGGTCTGGACCTCAAGTGGGTGAGCTGTGGGTAGATGGTCCTATCCTGAAGTGACCTAAGGATGCTGGAGGGCTCAGGGGAGAGGCCATGGGACAGACAGCCCTCCTGCCCACCTGGGTCCTCTGAGATTTATAGAGGGTCATTTCATCTGCCCTCCCCACCCCAGCCTCCCTGTCTACCTCCCACCAGCTTGAAGCCCCTCTAGGGGCAGAAAACTCACTACCTGTCACCAGTTCTAACCGAAAGAAAGGTCTTCCCTCATTACCCTAGACCTTATTCTTCCTTCCAGGCCCCGCAGGAGTGGGTTCCATTCCCCCCTGGGGATGGGCAGCCTCACCCTGGCTCTTTACTTTTTCCTAGCGTTAAAGGCCACCCAGACAGAGCTGCTGGAGCTGCGGCGGAAATACGATGAGGAGGCGGCTTCCAAGTAAGTGAACACCCTGCTGAGGTATGCCTCCTCCTTCTGACCCTTCCAGACCTGCCCCCTCCCTTTAACCCTCCTAAATCTGCCCCCTCCCTCTAACCCTCCCAAACGTGCCTCCTCTTTCTGACTCTGCCCAGGTACCCATTTTATTAAGAACCCCCTGCTCCCCACCCCCAGAGGCACACAGCTATTCACTGGTCATTGTTGTGCCATTATGCCCCACAGACTATAAATGGCATTCTGGGTTGCAGGCTGAGCAGGGTCTGCTGGCCAGGGGCCTGTGCCTCACCCCAGCCTCCTGGGGCTTTCCCAATTCCCCAGTTCCACAGCCCCACCCTTGGGGCCAAGTGTCATTCACTTAAATTGCTCTGTACTCAGTGTTTCTTCAGGACTTAAGATATCACTTATTCCACAAACACTTATTTAGTGCTTACTATTTACCCAGTGCTGTCCTGGGGCCCTGAAAGAAATACTAGAACATGGCCCTGGCAGATACTGACTGATGTACAGTGATAAATTCATTCATTCACAGACACCACTGAGCAGTTACTGAATGTCCAGCCCTTTTCTGGGCACAGGGTACATGCTGTGGAGGGAAGAACTGGGAACAGCAAGAGGGAATAACGGGGAGGTGGGTTCTGTCAGTCCCAGGTAGTCAGGGAGGACTTCACTGAAGAGATGACTTTCAGATCGAGACCTAAGAAATGAGCAGGAGATGGTCGTATGAAGAACGCCAAGAAGGGTGTCCTGGACAGTTGGAGGGGCTTGCGCAGAAGAGGGCCCTAAAGGGGTGTGAAGCACATGTGTGACTTGTAGTCACCAAATGCTCCCCACAGGCCTCCTGTGGCCCCCACCCCACACCAGGTAGAGGGGCAGCCACAGTGGAGGAGGCCTGTTCTGACTCTTAGGTTCCATAGGGAGGAGGGCAGCAAAATAAACAGATGACCTCCATGGGGGAGTATAGAGGGCGCCTAGGACGACACCTTGGAGCTGGGTTTTAAGCTGAAGCCTGTTCTCTTGAGGGTTGCATTCCAGGTGGAAGACACAGTGGGGGCCAAGCCTGGGAGGTACAGCTCTGCGGCAGCTTCAGAGAGTAGACCCTGGGGGAGATGAGAGGCCAGGCTGCAGTGCTCAGGCCCCCTTCCCATTTCCCCACAACTTGAGTTTTTTTCACCCCAGCCTGGTTTTTCCAGTAGAAAAGGTGGAAGGCACCCTCCCAAGCCTTCCATTTCAAGACCCGTGGGTTTGGGCAGGGACTCGGGGTATTATAATAGGCAGGGGTGCTGGTAGTGGCCAGAATCCCTTCCTCAGGGCCTCATCTCTCTGTCTCAGGGCAGATGAAGTCGGCCTGATCATGACCAACCTGGAGAAAGCTAATCAGGTGAGGAGTCCTGTGCTGGGGGCTCATTTTGCATGTGGTGGGGGTGTCAGGCCAGGCCGGGAGGACAGGGCTACGCTCAATCTGTATTTCCTGGACTACATGCCATGCAGAGTCAAACTCACCTTCTGACCAGCCAGGCCTGAAGTTTTCTTGGCAGACAGACGTGGCCTGGAAGTGTATGAAAACTTGCTCGTACCATAAAGACAGCATCTTCCTTCCTGCCCTTGTGGATTGGGAATGTTCTGACTCCTCTTGGAATCCTGAGTACCCTGGGGGAACCAGAAGCCAAGTCAAGGGTCCAAGACCCCAAAAATAGGACCCTGGGCCCTCAGAGCCCTGCCTGCCCAGCCCGTGCCTGAGATGATGCAGAGAGATGATGTTGGGCCACGGTGACATCCAGTCTGGCCCCACTCACCTCTTAACCACACTTTTCCCTTTCTGCTCTCCAGAGAGCTGAGGCTGCCCAACGGGAGGTGGAGAGTCTTCGGGAACAACTCGCCTCTGTCAACAGCTCCATCCGCCTAGCCTGCTGCTCCCCCCAGGGCCCTGGTGGGGTAAGGATGGTGGGAGAGCCAGAGGGAAAGGTTGGCAGAGGCCATGTTTGTGGGTATGAATATGTAGGTTGATTGTGTGCATCTCTGAAATTGTGCGCATGGATGTATTGGGTTTCTATGTGCTTACAGTGAGTGTAGCATCTTAATTGCCAAGGTCACTGTGTAAAACATAATTACTACAACTTGCTTCAACAGCTAAGGGTAAAAATACAGCCCCAGCTCTCTTTTAACTTTTCATCTCAAGCTTCCATGTACCCCGATTAACTGGAAGTCCAGTGTCTTCCTTTGAAAGTCCTCTTACCCCCATTACATGTAAAGTACCTAAAATAGTATTTGGCTCAGTCTTTGCTCTGTAAATATTTGATGCTACTACTATTATTATTATTAGTGTGGTTTTGGTGTGTCTGGGGTTTTGCCCACAAGAGCATGTAGTCTTTTTGAGCACATACATGTCTATGTGTCTGGTGATGTCCACATGAGTGTGCCTTGATGCTTGTGTATTTCTGTGTGTGTGCATGTCAGCATTAGTTAGGCAGGTATGTGTGTCAGTGTGTGCTGTGGCTCTAGCTGTGTCCACCTGTGTCTGTGTCCCAGGAGGCAGTGTGTGTGTGTGTCGAAGTGCCTAGATGTCTGCACAACACAGAGAGTGAACACAAGAGAGACAGAGAGCGGGAGCTCATGATGCCTAAGAGAGAATTTGCTGATGGTTCTTAATTAACCCCCATGGAACCCAGCAAATGCCTGTGCTAATCAGCCACTGGGAACTTGGCTGGTTTGGGGGGGGGGAGCACAACAGTGGTGCTCGATGCTAATTAATTTAATGTGTTAATGGCATCCGCTTCCTGTTTTAATTGTCATTTATCTCCATGGAAGAATACCCGGGGTTGGCAGTGGTGAGTTTTTGTTTTGTTTTGCTTTGTTTTTGTAATGCGTCTTAGATTCACTTGTGACTGAGCTGAAAATCAGCCTGACTTCAGGTTCCCTCACACAGCAACCTCTTCATCTTCATCCAGGACAAAGGGACCATTTCCTAAAACCTAGAGAAGCAGTAGGGCTTGGGGCTGGAGGTAAATGAGGAGAAGGAAAGGACCATCCCTGATGTGGCCTGTGGCTGCAGGGTCTCAGGGCTAACCCTAACCCTCCTGCCCCGAATGGAAACATCCTGCACCCGGTTTAGAAACCCAGACCTTTGTCTATGCTGTTCCCTCTGCCTGGAACACCCTGTTCCCACCACTTCCTCACCCAGCTAACGACTTTTTTGTTGTTCTTTTTTAACAAACATTTTATTGAAGTATAATATACATAAGGGAAAATGTGCATATTGTAAGTGTACAGCACATTGAATTTTGCACCAGGGACATATCCCATAACCAGCATCTAGAGCGAATAGGACATTCCCAGTCCCCAAGAAGCCCTCTCGTGCCTCCATCCAGGGGCTACTACCCTGACCTTTAAGAACACAGATGGGTTTGCCTGTGTTTGTAGCTGATCTTAATTGAATCACACACACACCTTGGTGTCCAGCTTCTTCGCTCCATGTCATACCTGGGAGAGCCATCCATGTTGTGTTGGCATAGTCGTAGGTTATTCGTTTTCACTGCTGTATAGTATTCCATCTAGGAACATATCACAGTCTATTCACATTCTCTTGTTGGTAGACATTTAGAGCGCATTTCCAGTTTGAGGCTGTTACAGAGAGGTCTGCTGTGAACATGCATCCTGGTGTCCCAGGGTCTTGGTGCACAGTGGCCTGCATTTCTCCTGCATATAGTGGAAGCATATGTTCCCCTTCAATGGATGCTGCCAAGCAGTCTTCTAAATCACTAATGTGTCCTTGAACTTCATCACAGTTTAGACACATCTTCCCCCAGAAAAATCTTCCCTGATCACTTCCCCTCCCGCATTTTTAGTTTCAAGAGTGGAGGGAAGGGCATTCAGGCTGGTGGGTGCAGCCTGAGCAAAGACCAGGAGGCGGGAAGAGGAAAGCCACGGGCCTGTCAGAGGGGCCCATCACTCTGGGGAGTCAGTACCAGAACCGGAGCACAGATGGGTCTCCCATTTTGTTTGGGACTCAGGGTGGAGAGGTGAGCCCTGTGGCCCCTCAAAGCCACCCTTTGTCCTCAGGATAAGGTGAACTTTGCTCTGTGCTCGGGCCCACGGCTTGAGGCTGCCCTGGCCTCCAAGGACCGGGAAATCCTGCGGCTGCTAAAGGATGTGCAGCATCTCCAGAACTCTCTGCAGGAGCTGGAGGAGGCTTCCGCCAACCAGATTGCTGACCTGGAGCGGCAGCTCACAGCCAAGTCAGAGGCCATCGAGGTAGGTCCTGGGAGGAGGTGAGCAGACGGGAGATGCATGGGGCATCGCCGGGCAGAAGGACAGCCCAGTCTCACTGTCTGTTTGCTCCTCTAGAAGCTCGAAGAGAAGCTCCAGGCACAGTCTGACTATGAAGAAATTAAAACAGAGCTGAGGTACTATGCAGAGTGGGGCTCCACAGACCCCTAGCCCTCTTCCCTGGGGCCACCTGGGCAGGCGGGGAGGGCACTTGGCAGAGTACATCACCTTCCTCCCTCCCGGCACACTCCACTTTGTGGTGCCCTTGTCTCCTCTCCACTGGTACCCTGGGTCATGCTTGGTCCTTTCCTATCACGAGCTGCCTGTAGGAGAACATGCAAAGCAGCCTTGTTGGTGGTGTGACTGGGGGGAGGGGGATGATGCGTTGATCTTATAGATAAGCTCCAGTGGGTGAGTGTGGGAGTCAGCACAGCACCCCTCCTGCTAACATTGAACCAGTACATCAGAACCAGTTCATAAGCTGGCTCCTTAACACCGTTTTTACCATAAGTCCGGTGTAGTGCAGGGTCAGAGGGTGAGGGCAGTTGTTCTCAGCCAGAGGAGATGAGCTGGTGGAAGTGCCTCTCCCCAGGCCACTCCCAGCCAGCGGCCTCACACTACCCACTTTCTCCGGCAGCATCCTGAAAGCCATGAAGCTGGCCTCCAGCACCTGCAGCCTCCCCCAGGTGAGCGTCTTTCCACTCTACCAGCTCCCACCCCCGCCCATGAGGCAGGCTGCCCTGGAGAGCCTTTCAGCAGCCATGCCCCCTCAGCCCGGGCTCTTGTCTCCCCAGAGCCTGTCCAAGCCCGAGGACTCGCTGCTCACAGCGAAGGAGGCCTTCTTCCCTGTACAGAAGTTTCTGCTGGAAAAGCCGGGTCTCCTGGCCAGCCCTGGTAGGCGAGAGGACCTTCTTGGGGCTGAGGGGCCTGGTGGGGCTGCTGTGGGTCTCTGGCCTCCTCCAAGCCCACAGACCACTGCCTTCCACTTAGGAGGAGAGATGGAGAAAGGGGTGCACATTGACTGAGCACCTGCTGTGTGTCTGGCACTGAGCTGGGCACCAGCCACGGCTTAGGCCAGCTGGCAGCTGACCCACAGATGTGCACACACATGCACACACACACTTGAAACACACAGCTCGCTCAGACCACCTAAGGCCACCAAAGGCTCCACCCAGCCCCAAGCCTTCATGAGCAGTAGGATGAGGTCTCGAGACCAAGAGGGCATTCACGTCGCACCCCACAGCGAGCGGCTGGAAGTGGCCCACAGACATTGCTGTCTTCCAGACCACCTTCCCAGCCACCTGCCCCGTCTGCCTGCACAGGGGCTCCCCAGCCTTTTAGCTGTGTGGCCCCAGCTGAAGCTCTGCTGCCCTGAAGGATGGGGATTTAAGAATGGGGGAGGGGCTGCTGGCAAAATTGCTGGACGCCTATAGCACTCTCTCCCCACCCCTCTTCTCCCCACTTCCTCTCTCTCTGCCTCTGACTTTCTGTCTCTATGTATGTTTCTCTCTGTCCTTCACTGTCTCTGTCTCCTTTCTATCTCTCTTTCCCTCTGTCTCTGTCTTTCACTTTGTCGTTGCCTGTCTCCCTCCGTCTCTTTCTGAGTCTCACTGTCGGCCTGCCTCTCTCACATGCATGATTTCTCTCATGTAATTTCTCTCTGCCTCTCTTTTTCTGTCTGTCTCTCTTGTTTCTCTTTCTCTGTGTATGTCCCTCATTTCTCTTCATGTCTCTCTCTCCCTCTGTCTGTCTCTAGAGGAGGACCCTTCGGAGGACGATTCCATCAAGGACTCCCTGGGCACTGAGCAGTCCTACCCGTCTCCTTCGCAGCTCCCACCACCAGGGCCAGAAGACCCCCTGTCCCCAGGCCCCGGGCAGCCCCTGCTGGGCCCTAGCCTGTGCCCTGATGGCCCTCGGACTTTCTCGCTGTCCCCCTTCCCTGGCCTGGCTTCAGGAGAGAGACTGGTAGGGGACGCTTTACTGTCTAAGCACATCATGCCCCCGGCTGCCTTCAAAGGAGAGGCAGGCAGCCTGCTGGTGTTTTCCCCGGCCTTCTACGGTGCCAAGCACCCCACAGCCCCTGCCACCCCAGCCTCTGGCCCTGAGCCACCTGGGGGCCTCGAGCCAGCTGATGGTGGGGGGGGCAGCACAGCCGGGGCAGGGGCCGGAGCAGAGGAGGAGCAACTGGACACAGCGGAGATCGCGTTCCAAGTGAAGGAGCAGCTGCTCAAACACAACATCGGGCAACGAGTGTTTGGCCACTACGTTCTGGGGCTGTCGCAGGGCTCAGTCAGCGAGATCCTGGCCCGGCCCAAGCCGTGGCGCAAGCTCACGGTGAAGGGCAAGGAGCCTTTCATCAAGATGAAGCAGTTCCTGTCGGACGAGCAGAACGTGCTGGCTCTGAGAACCATCCAGGTGCGGCAGCGAGGTGAGTGCTGGCTGTGGGCCTTTCCCACCGCCAAGCCCGGGACAAGGCGCTGGCTGGGGTGTGAGAACACAGGCTCTGAGTTCAGAGCCAGGCTCAGTGGCCTCCAGCTGTGTGACCTGAGGCAAGTGGCTTTGCCTTTTAGTGTCTTACTTTCCTCTACTGTAAAATAAGGAAACACATCCTGTTTCCTCCTTCCTGGGGCCTGTGGCTACCCCTATCCCTACCTGGCCCTCATGGGGCAACTCAATAATGGTGGGAAAAGGCTGGGTGTCAGGGACTGCCCTGGCAGCTACCCCCTGAGCACCTCGAAGCCTCAGTTTACCCATCCAAGCGGCCTGAGTGACCACCAACCTTACCAGACATGATTTTTAGGCCAATCCATGTGAAGAGCCCAAGCTCTGACTTCACAAACTCTGCCCTTCACCCATGGGGTGGTCTCAGGCAGCTCACTTTAACTTCCTATCCATCAGCCTCCAAGAGGGGTTAAATGAATAAAGGGCATAGTAACTGCTTGAGAACTGTTAGCTGTGGTGGTAACTGATCATTGTTGTTTTTTATTATTATTTCAAGCCAGAGTCGCTTGTAGGTCCACAGGGTGTCACATAGACTAGCTCAGCAGTGGTCCTGCTGCACACACTCATGGTCTGGCCCTCACTCTCCTGGCCCTAGTCCTGGCCCTTGGAAGAGGGGCCCAGCCATTCACCCCACCCAGCTCTAGGGACTGACCCCCAGCATGTAGGTCCCCATGACAGATGCCTCCTTGCCTCTCCCAGGCAGTATCACCCCAAGAATCCGCACCCCAGAGACAGGCTCAGATGACGCCATCAAAAGCATCTTGGAGCAGGCCAAGAAGGAGATCGAGTCACAGAAGGGAGGTGAGTATGGCCTGAGGCCTTGGGGGCCTGCTCTGAGCAGGAGGCGGGGCCTCGACCCCTCTTCCCCTGTCGTCCACCCAGAGGGGATTCCAAACAGGTCAGAACCTCTTCACCTCTTGCACAGTCTGCAACCAGGCAGGGTCTCAGCCTGGAAAGCACTGGATCTGCACTATCCAGTATGGAGCCACTACCCACATATGTCTGTATTCATTCAGATTAATTAAAATTCAATAAAATTACAACTTCTTCAGCCTCAGTAGCCATGCTGCACAGGTGACAAGTGGCGGCCGTATGGGACAGCATAACTCAGAATGTCTTCCTCATCACACAGTTCTGACAGCGCTGATCTCGATTATTCTATGTCCTCAATTTTCAGGAGACACAGTGATCAGTATCACACAGGAGCTCGTGAAACACACCGAGGCCTGAGCCTCACCGTGACTGTCAGTCTCACCCTCCTTGCTCCTGTACCTTCTAATTCCCTAGGAGACACTTGTCCATAATCATGCTCATGCTCACCTCCCTAATGCCATTCTCATCCCAGACACCTTTCACCTGGCCAACTCCTCATACTTTATGACAACTGAGACATCAGTTCCTCTAGGAAGCCCCCTCCCCCATCCCTGTACAGATGGATTGGATGCTGCCCCTTTTTGGATCCCCAAAATTATATATATGCTTAGTGCAGTGGAACCACGTTCACCGTAGTGCAAATTCTGGCCCTGCTTTTATTATCTGTGTGACCCTGGGCAAGTTTATATAGCCTCTCTGTGCCTCTATTTTCTCATCTTTAAAATGAGGACAGTGTTGCCCAGCCAGCTTGGCTCAGTGGTTGAACATTGACCTATGATCGAGGAAGTCAAGGTTCAATTCCCAGTCAGGGTACATGCCCAGGTTACGGGCTCAATCCCCAGTAGGGGGTGTACAGGAGGCAGTTTAAAAAATAAAATGAGGGCAGTGTTAATACTCCTTAAGGCTGTGGGATGATAAAATGAAATCAGGCATGCAAGCACTCAAGGGCCTGGCATACAGAAGGTGTATCTGAAAGATTAGCAATTGTTACAGTTAACATTATCATTATTATATCTTTATTGTTGTATTTTTTTCATGTTAAAAATGACTCTGCTTATGTAGCTGTCTCTCCCAATGGTCAGGGGGCATCCCTGCCCAGCACCGTGTTGCTCAACATTGTTATAAGACAGTTGCTGACTTAGAACAGGTTTCAGCACTCCCACCCTCTTTTGTAGTGTCTGCTGTCCCCTGGTGGTGACTTGGAGAAAGTGTCCCGATTCCCAAGCCTCTGCTTGCTGCTGGGAGCCAAGAGTTTCCCAAGGGCCTTCCCCTCTACCTGCTCCCTGGGAGGGGTGGAGGGAGGCTTCCCCCCTAGGAACCTACAATGCCCCACCCAGATTGGGCACAAAGACTTATATACAAGCTTTTCCTTTATCATTGTCACAACAGTGATAAACTAGAAACAACCTAAGTGTCTAGCAGTGGGGGATCAGATAAGTAAAGCAGAAGCTATCCCTTCAGTGGGGTATGGAGCCATTAAAGATAGGAAAACTTTTAATCATAGGGGAAAATACTCTTGTTGACATAAAGTGAGGGCAAACCAGGCTACACTACCATATCAAGTATGATCATCCTGTGCAGGCCAATGCTCTAACCACTGAACAAAACCGGCCAGGGCTGTCCACGTGATCTTTACTGCCTAATAGTCTTCTATATAGTTGGACCATAACTTACTTAACCAGTCCCCAACTGGTGGACACAAAAATTGCCTCCAACATTTTGCTTGTATAAATACTGATACTGTGCCCGGCCAGCATGCTCAGTGGTTGAGCGTTGACCTATGATCAAGGAGGTCAAGGTTCGATTCCTGGTCAGGGCACATGCCTGGGTTATGGGCTCGATCCCCAGTAGGTGGCATATAGGAGGCAGCCAATCTATGGCTCTCTCTCATCATTGATGTTTCTATCTCTCTCCTCTCTTTTCCGTCCTCTCTCTGAAATCAATAGATAAAATATTTTTTTTAATAAAATAAGTAAATAAATACTGATGCTGTGACAACTTTGTTCTGACGATGGGCCTCTGGCCACTGTGTCATGCACCCCACAGGTGAGCCCAAGAACTCCACAGCCCCATTGAGCATCACCAATGGCACAGCCTCTGCCAACACCTCAGAAGATGCCATCAAAAACATTCTGGAGCAGGCACGCCGGGAGATGCAAGCACAGCAGCAGGCTCTACTGGAGATGGAGGCAGGCCCCAGGGGCCGCTCGGTGCCTCCTTCCCCCCCAGAGCGGCCCTCGCTGGCAGCCGTGAGCCAGAACTGTGCCCCGACATACGTCAAGCAGGAGGACAGCAGTGTTGGCAGTGGCGGTGGTGGGGGCGGCGGGGGAACCAGCAGCAGTGCCACACAGACATCCCTTACTGTCCTGTCTCCCGCCGCCTTCGTGCAGAGCATTATCCGGAAAGTCAAATCAGAGATCGGCGATGCTGGCTACTTCGATCAGCACTGGGCCTCAGACCGCGGCCTGCTCAGCCGCCCCTACACCTCCGTGTCGCCCTCACTCTCCTCCTCCTCCTCCAGCTACTCTGGCCAGCCCAACGGACGGGCCTGGCCCCGTGGGGATGAGGCCCCCACGGTCCCTGAGGACGAAGTCGCCGGGGGTGAGGACGAGCCCCCTAGGTTGGGCGAACTCAAGGCTGAGGGGATCATCCCTGAGTCAGGCAGTGGTGGGCGGCTGGCCTACTACCCAGCATATGTGCCCCGCACACTGAAGCCCACCGTGCCACCCTTGACCCCAGAGCAGTACGAGCTCTATATGTACCGTGAGGTGGACACGCTGGAGCTGACACGCCAGGTCAAGGAGAAGCTAGCCAAGAACGGAATCTGCCAGAGGATCTTTGGGGAGAAGGTGAAGATGGGGGCGGGAGGGTCAGAGAGGGCAGGAGGCTCAAGGGACCCTGGGAGAGGACTACCTGAGGGTCAGCCTCCAGTGCCCATGGTCTGGAAATAAGCAAGAACAGGACAAAATCAGGATTCGAACCCAAGTCCTTGTGACCCCAAAAGCTCATATTTCTCTATCTAGCTGCCCCTGGGCCCTGTGGGAAGGGGGGCCATGGGCACAGCTGGTGCTCACTTCTGCAGCTGTTAAAGCAGGAGACACTTCCACCTGGTTGGGAATACCCCCCGAGCCCTCCTCCAGGACCCTACATCTCTCTGATGGCCCAGCCACTAAAGGGGTTAAGGTCCAGCTCAGCCAGGGGTCTGCTGATTGGTTGGTCCCCCTCCAGTACCAGTAGTTAAGGAGTTTTTTAACATCACTTTTGCCCATAGCAGAGGAGCAGGCAAACAGACAAGCCCAGAGGAGGGAGAAGTGACCTAAGTGGGAGATACAGGAAGGCTTCCTGGAGGAGGGGGCACTTGAGGGGTCTTAACAGCTAGGTAGGAATTTTACATGTAGGGAAATTGGGAAGGGCACTGCAGGTGAGGGTACAGCACAGGCACTCAGCAGGCACTGGGAAATGAAGAACAAGTGAGGCAGCCCTAACCTCTCAGGGAACAGAGTGAACAGTGGTCCCTAGGGTCTTGGAGGGAGAGGGGAGGTGATGTCCTGTGTCCCCGGGGCCTGCTGACCCACCCTTCCTGCCCCATCCATCCCTAGGTGTTGGGCCTGTCACAGGGCAGTGTAAGCGACATGCTGTCCCGGCCAAAGCCCTGGAGCAAGCTGACGCAGAAGGGGCGGGAGCCCTTCATCCGCATGCAGCTGTGGCTCTCAGACCAGCTCGGCCACGCCATCGGCCAGCAGCCCAGCGCCTCCCAGGGTGAGTGCCCACAGGGTTCTTTTGAGGGTTGCTGCCAGCCCCCGGAACTGCAGAGAGCCCTCACTCTTCCACTCTGCAATGGCACATGCATCTGCTTTACTGCCCACATCTACCCCTCTCTCTGGCCCCACTGTCCCGGCCACCATTATCACTCCCCTAGAAGACTGCAGCATGCTCCTAGCTGGTGTCCCTGCTCCCCTTGCATCCTTCCTTCAGTCAGAGGGTGCATCTATCACTGGTTTTAAACTTCCAGGTGGTGCCAGAGGAAATAGTTTGCATTTGGAGCCCCACCCTCTGATTCTGTCGGAGTCACTGATTAATGTCTTTTTCCTGAGGATCCAGCATGCAGCCTCAGAATCCTTAGCACAGGGCTTTGAGCAGCTGTAATGACATAGGTATTTTGGGGGCAGGTGGCACATAGAATCCTCAAGACCTCAGACATGGGCTGCCAGCCACATGGGACTCTGATGCACTACTCAAAATTTGGAGGCTTCACTTTACACCTTTCACGGTAATCAGGGGTCCCAGCCAAAATTTATTCACTCAACAGATGACCCACCGCCTCCTGCCTTCTAGGAAATCATAGTCAGTGGATGAGAAGACACTGTTGGGTGTAAGCAAACCTGAGCTCTAGTCCTAATGCTGCCACTACTCATTGTGTGACCTGGGCGCATATTTTTTTAATCTCACTGAGCCTCAGTTTCCTTACCTGCCTCCTAGACATGTTTTTGGTGACTAGAGATCATGGGGGTAAAACATGTAGCAATACACTGGGCATGTGGTAAGCGCTCAATAAAAGGAAGCTTTGTTGTTACTGTCCTCATCATCGATGTTGCTTTCATCTGGTAAGGGAGACATCTGGCACAAGCAAGAAGTTATAGTGAAGCAGTTATTTTATAGACTGTCTCGGTCCAGCTTTGTCTGGTGCTTCGTCATGATCAGATTCAGGCCGAGCACTTTTAGCAGGAATATCACGGATGCGATGCTGTGTCCTCCGTGCATCATATCGGGAGGCTCCCATTGTTGATTTGGCCCATGATTGGTGCTATTATCTGATCGCTTGGTTGTGGTGATACCTGCTGGGTATCTCTACTACAAAGTTACTATTTTTCCTTTGTAACTAATAAGTATTTTGTGGGAGATACTTTGCGACTATGTAAACTTTCATCTGCTAGTTTTCCCACCCAAGATGGTCCTGCCTGAGCTGTTACCATGGTAGTTGCAAAATGGATTGTTGTGGACTCTTGGCTCTAACAGACAAGACTGCCGAAACCTTGTGTGGCTATGCCAGGTTGCAGTAACCACCTTCTCTTTCTCTCTCTGGCCCACAGCCAGTCCCACCGAACCAAGGTCCTCACCATCCCCACCCCCTACCCCCCCGGAGCCCGAGAAAAGTTCCCAGGAGCCCCTGAGCCTGGCATTGGAGAGTAGCAAGGAGAACCAGCAGCCAGAGGGACGCTCCAGCTCCTCGCTGAGTGGGAAGACGTGCTCAGGCAGCCAGGCCACCGGGGGCATCCAGGAGATTGTTGCCATGTCCCCTGAGCTGGACACCTACTCCATCACCAAGAGGGTCAAAGAGGTTCTCACAGACAATAACCTAGGTACGGGGTAGTGTGGGTTCCCCTGTGTCTGAGTTAGTGGAGACATCCTGGGTTCTCCCCTCTGCCTCTCTGGTTTCCTGAGAGCTCCTCTGCCAGGCCTGGGGTGAGTGACAGGCGGCCTCATCCCCTGTCCCCAGGGCAGCGGCTGTTTGGAGAGAGCATCCTGGGCTTGACGCAGGGCTCTGTGTCCGACCTACTGTCCCGGCCCAAACCCTGGCACAAGCTCAGCCTGAAGGGGCGGGAGCCCTTTGTGCGCATGCAGCTGTGGCTCAGTGACCCCCACAATGTGGAGAAGCTGAGGGACATGAAGAAACTGGAGAAGAAAGGTGAGGTCTGCGTCCTCTGGGCTGGCCTCGGGTTTTCCCACGGGAACCATACCTGGTTGTAACCCAAGTAAACCCAGGGCCTTAATGGTCCACCCTCAGCCTGGTGCGGGACTGCAAGAAATAGGAATCCCACAGAAAGAATATTATTGAAAGCAATGAAAATATTTACTACTTCTGCCATGAAAATTTCTGTCCCCCGTCTCTCATTTCCTCCCACACCCATAGCGTCTGTAGTCTTTACCAACTCTACTGCACATTCCGCAAAACACTCCCTCTCTGATCCGCGGCGCCGCCCCCCCCCC